GTTGACGATGGCCCCGGGGCCCGAGGACGGGCCAGGGCCGAGATCGAAGGAGAATGCTGGGATGAAACCGATCAGATCGTCGAGGTGATTCTTATGTTTTCAGTGCGGGGTCCCCGGAGGTCCTGACGTTTCCCCCAGCGCCTGCTTTCATCCCGAGTCTTGGCGGCGAGCGAGGGGGAGAGGTGAGAAGGAGAAGGCATTCTCAGAAGGCGGCGGGACTCCGCAGAAGCCCTCGCGCCCTCTGGGAAGTTTTTCCTGTCCTCGGGGAAGGCTTAGGAAACTTCTCAAAAGGCCGGGGGGACTTCCGAGACTTCTGCCGAAGGCCCGCCCCTTCTCACTTCCCCCCCTCGCTCGCCGCCGAGAGCCTGCTTGACGGCCCCGGGGCCCGGCGAGGGCCCACGGAGACCAGGAACAGCCGACAGCCTTCCGTCGTGAGCTTTCACGCCGTCGCCATTGTGCCCTGGGTTTAAGTCGGGCCTGTTCCTTTACAGGGAGAATATTCCAAAATAGTTAAAACATAGTCCGGGGACGACGTTTTTTCTTTACCATGTTTGGGCAGTTGGGGGATATGTTTGGGGTGTTTTTTTAAATTCGTCCAAAATCGGCCTGTAGGGGGACAGGCCTGACTTAACCCTGGGTCCCAGAGATTGTGTTGTCGTGTCCTATGGCGCGCAGCGGTCGTTGCCGGGGCCAGCGCCCCTTACCCCAGGTAAGGGTAGCACATCGTGCGCCTGGGGGGGGGGCTGCAAACACACACCCTCCACATGCTGGTGCTTGCGCGCACATTCGCGATCTCAGCGCACCCCCGCCTCCCCCGCCCAAGCGCTGCAGAGCCCCCCCCCCTCGCCTGGGTAACGGCCGCTACCGAAAGTAGCCAAAAAGCCAGATCCCGCCGACAACGCTGCCCCGGCGAGCGACGCGCAACCCGCGGCGCGTTACCACGAAGCTCCCCACGCATGTGGATTGGCGGCGCGCACAAGGGGGTGGAGGGAGGGGGGAGGGCTTCTTGGAAGGAGGCTGCTCCGGAGAAGGCGCCGGCCTCACATCTATATCCCGATATATATATATATATATATATATATTATTGTATATTATAGAGAGAGAGAGAAGGCCCGCGCCTTCTAAGAAGCAGGGGTGCTTCTAAAGAAGCCTCCCCCTCCCCCCCACCCCCCTCTTCGGCCAGACGCAAGAGGGGCCCTGGGCAAGAGTGACCTTTGGCGCTCAGCTCCTGGGGGCGCGAGGGGGCGAAGCGCCCAAGGGCGCGGGCCGCTTACATCGCCTCTCGCTCGGCGATCGGGGGGAGCCCGATGAGCCCGCACCAGAGGCCACTCCGGCGACAGGCCACTCTCAATTGCGCGTTCCTTTGCAAGCACGTCGTTTTCGGCACCGCCTGATCCCGAGGCTTTGCCTCCTCCTGGCCTTTGCCGTGAGGCTGCGCTCCTTCCCTTCCCCCCCCTCTTTGTTAATTCAAGCTTCGCGCGCTCGACCCTGCGAATCAAAACCGTGTGGTCCAGATTTCGTAATAAAGGGAGGGGGGTCTCATTTCGGGGGGGGGTCTCTTCCAGGCTATCTTGGAGGGCCTGGGGGGGTCTGGGGACGATGTTTTGGAGGGTTCTCCCACGGGGGAGGTCTGAAATGGCTTGTCTTGGAGGGTCCAGACCCCCTCCCTTTTACTACGAAATCTGGAGTAGTCGACCTCTGCGCGTGGCGGAGTGGAGACCAGGCTCCGCGCGCGAGGCGGCCGCCCCAAAGGAAGAGCGCGCGCGGGGGGCCGGCAGGCGCAGCCGGCGGCCCCCGCGCGCGCAGCCTCCTCCGCCCGGGGGGCGCTCCGCACGAGTGGCAGGCGCTGCGCGTGCCAGCACGGGCGCCGCGGGGCAGCTCGGAGGCGACGGTAGGGGCGCAGAGCCCAGGGGAGAGCCATACAGGCCTCGGAGAAGAAAAAAATAGCGAACACTCCTGCCACATTCATCTGTGAACGCCTCCCCCTCTCCCCAATATTCAAAGTCGGTGGTGAGTCTGATGAGTTGCACCCTAGACCGCATTCTCCCCCCGCGCGTGCCGACTTTGAGCTTGGGGGGCAGGGGGGGTGTTCACTACTTGTTTCTCTCCATAATGTATCCGGGGGCGCCGATGACCTGTGCCTTCGGCAAGGCTCCCGGGCGACTGCGTGCAATATGCCCGCCCCTGGGCCAGATTCGCCCTCCTCGCCGCCGCCGAGCCGAGCCGAGCCCGCCCCGCCATATCCGCGGGCCGAGGAGCAGCCTGCAGCACACCCCGGCGCCGAGCGGGGAGGGCCCCGGCGGGCACGGCCGCGAGGAGCCGGCGCAGGGAGGGGCGGCTCGCCGCGAGAGGCAGATCAGGAAGGGAAAAAACACAGAGACACAACGAGTCGTCGAGTCCCAGGAAAACATGGGAAAGTACGGGAAGGGGGGGGGGAAGACATAAAACCGAGAAAGTATGGGAAAATATGGGGAGTCTTTGTATTTGCGTGTATCTATTTGTGTGTCCTGCGGCCCCTTGAGCAGAGGCGGGAGGGCTGCACGGGCACGGAGGGCCGCCAGCAGCGAAGGCGAGGCGAAGAGAGGCCCCTTCTCTGATCGATGAAGGAGCCGAACTCTATGTGCACACCGACGCCTTTTCCCGGCCCCGCACCGGAGCTCGCACAGGAAAGAGCGGATCCTGGCGTATTACGGGGTCCTGGTGTATGCATTTCTTGTGGCTTCCACGGGAAAGCGGGGGAACAAGTGTACACCACACCACCCCGACGTCGCCCCCTACCCTCCAAAATTCCTTGGATTGCAAAACAGCCCGCCACTGGTAACGTATATGCTACAGTTTCCGATCGATCTCCTTCAAGATAGCCCCCAAGGTCACCAAGAGGGCCCCAAGAGGGCCCCAAGAGGCGACCGGGAGGCCCCTAAAGAGGCCAGCAGAAAGCTGCCAGGAGACCCGCAAGAGGTTCCAAGAAGCCCCCCCGAGGCACCCAAGACGCCTCAGAAGGCCCACGGGGCCGCCAAGAGGCCTCGAGAGGATCCCAAGAAACTCTCACATGACATCCGAAACAATTCTAAAACACATCCAAGAGACCTCTGGTGTCCTCCTCTCCCCTCCCCATTCCCCGCTTCCTCCTCCGATTCCTCCTCCGTCCCGCCCCCCACGCCCCACGATGGCTTTCTCAAGCCTCCATTCCACGGCATGCTCCTCCACACCCCTGATCAAGGCAACTCGCTTGGGCCTCATGTATGGATGGGTTAGTGGGCTTTGGCGATGCGCTTAGTATATATATATACATATATATATATATATATATATCTCAAAACCCCGATCCGCGGGCCGGTCGGGCACAGCGCGCCCATGGCTTGGAACAGTTCGGAACGTCTTGGCAAGCGCAATCGTGCAAAGGGGGGGGGGGAGAAAAGACAAACGCCACTCCGACCCCACCGATCAATGCTCCCGAGACTGTGTCGGAGGCCTGGAAATTGGCACCAACACCAAGACAGGGGGTTGCCTCCACAGGGGGAAGGTGATCCTAGATTTCGGTATTGGTGGTAATATTTCGGCCACCTTGGAAGCCAGAATATTACCACCATCGCCGAGATCGGGATCTTCTTCCCCTCGGTGGAGGCACACCGCCGAAATTGGTGTTGGTGTCAATCTCTAGGCCTGCGACAGTGAACGTTCCCTGGCCCCTGCGCCCCCGCCAGACGGCGGGCGGTAGAAACAGAAGGCCCCGCCGAGGGCGGGGAGAGGGAGAGGGAACGGCCGCCCCCCGAAACGCGGAGCGCGACCACGGGCACGGCGGAAGACCCCACCCACCGGCCGGAAGGAGCGCCATCGAAACATGCCACAGAAGGCGTTGAAACTAGATTCCCAGACCCCCTCGAGTAATGAACAAATCATGACGGAGGGTTGTTCCTAATTTTCGGCCTCTGGGGCCCCTCACCGGGCCTCGGGAGCGTCAGAAAACGACTCAGGATGCAAAGCTGGTCATGGGGAAAGGATCGGGACTTCTGGGGGTCGACGTCATGAAAAAATCATTACGTCGGGGGTCTGGGTTGATGGGACTCACAGAGACATACTAGTACTGTGCTTCTTCCTCGGAGGCGCGCGTCTGACCCCAACGTGCAGTACACCCATACAGTAGGAGATCGTTTCTCGAGCGGTGTGGCCAGAAAGCGCCCGCCACGACGTACATACTATCATATTTCTCGGTGCGCGCATCGCCCCTGGGGGGGGGCAGTCGCACACATAATATTAGTATGTTGGGGTGACGCCGGATTCACTTCCTGCCCCCCCTGAAGAGGCCGGGGGAAGGGGACACCGCTCGACGCCCGAAGCAGGCAAGCGCCCGAAGCAGATTGGAACCAGGGGGCCCAGGAACCCATACTTTCACGGGTCAGACCTCAGAACGTCGACCCCCAGAAGAATCTCGACGCATTCCCCGAGGCCGGCTTCTCCTCCTCCTCCTCCTCGTCCTCCTCCTCCTCCTCCTCCTCCTCCTCCTCTTCAGCCCGACTCCCGTCTTTGGACTGCCATGGGGCCGCCGGGCGAGGGCCCCTGGAAGCTGACGACGCGGCCAGCAACCGTCCGTCGCGATTGCTCTGACGGCGCGGGCACGTCCACGGAAAGATACAGGCCTCGGAAACAAAATAGCGAACACTCCTGCCACATTCATCCGTGAACGCCTCCCCCTCCCCCCCAATATTCGAAGTTGGTGGTGGGTCTGCTGCGTTGCACCTCGACCGCAGTCTCCCCCCGCGCGTGCCAACTTTGAGTTTGGGGGGCAGGGGGGGTGTTCACTACAGTCGGGGCGTTGACCTAAGGAATCCTGAATAGGGAACGAGGCCCCTTTCATCCATAAATTAACCTTCGATTTCCCATCGAAATCCATCGGAACACCGAAAGCAAACTGTGAAACAATCAAGGAACACCGAGCCCCTCCCCAACGAAAAGGGTTCCTTCTTCAGCGCCCCGACTGTAATTGTTTCCCTCTACCGTACCCGAGGAGATGGGACGGGCCGGTCGCCCCAGTCGGCCAGCGCGCAGTCGTCGCCGCCGACGTCGGCCTCCTCCGCAGGGGCGAGCGGGGAGCAGCGCCGACTCCGAGGGCGAGGGGGGCGGTGAGGCGAAGGGGGGAGGAGGAGGAGGAGGAGGAGGAGGAGGAGGAGGAGGAGGAGGAGGAGGAGGAGGAGGAGGAGGAGGGAGGAGGTGGAGGAGGAGGAGGAGGAGGAGGAGGAGGAGGAGGAGGAGGAGGAGGAGGAGGAGGAGGAGGAGGAGGGGAGGAGGATTAGGAGGAGGGAGGAGGAGGAGGAGAGGAGAGGAGGAGGAGGAGGAGGAGGAGGAGGAGGAGGAGGAGGAGGAGGAGGAGGAGGAGGAGGAGGAGGGGAAGGGCGAAGAGGAGGAGCATGGGAACGAAGAGGGAGGAATCCCGCTCCACGCAGCGGCGCCGGCACGGCAGCGCGGGCCTTTTGGTGGCTCGTGTAGCGGCAGCTGACGTTCGAGATCTTGGTATCAAGGTAGATGTAGTGTGACACGAAGACGAAGAGGAGAAGAAAGAGGCAGACGGGGAGAAGAACGAGGAGGTGGAAAACGAACAGCGCGTAGTCAGGAACCGAAGGGGAAAACATCTCTCCCTGTCTGCCCCTTCCTCCTCTCCCTCCTCCTCCTCCTCCTCCTCCTCCTCCTCCTCCTCCTCCTCCTCTTATCCTCCCCCCCCTCGTGTTTCATGGGGCGGAATAGACATGCCAACGCATGCCCGGCTCAGCCTCTCGGTGACCTCCTCGACAGGCAACCCCGACGGGCACTGGCCAGGGCCAATGACACCCTTGCAGCAGAAGAGCCAAAACGATTTTCCCTTGTCGGTGATCTTTCTTGGCGAAGGCGGAAAATGAGGCGAGAGGGAGACTGCGCAAACGATTGCTGGCAATCAAGCTCGAAGCGGTGAGTCGACCTGCCGCAAAACCTTTCTCGCCTCTCGCCGCTGCTACGCTGCCGCTGCACGTCTGTCTCTGAATCGATTGTCGCGTCGAAGACACGTCGAAATCCACAATGCACGTATCTCAAACGCGCCTAGCATGCAGCTTCACACAGCCACGTTAGGGGGTCCACGATGTGCCGCCGATTCGGGGGCCCAGCATCCCTCTACGGGCGTTGGACGAACTATGCAGAAACCTCACAGACGAGCCGCTCAGGAAACCATCCCAATGTGATCGCTGCATCCAATGAAGCCCATCGAGGTCGGCAGCCGCGCCGATGATACGCACCGTCGGCGGGCAATCCGATGCCAGCCCTCTAGGGGGTAAGCATCAGCCTTCTCGGACAGGCCCAGGGGTAAGTCGGGCCTGTCCCCCTACAGGGGGATTTTCGACGACAAATAAAAAATACCCCCAAAATAATCAAATTACCTCAGTGCGACCCTACCTAGGAGTTGGAACCCCTAGGAAAGCAGCATTAGTAGTAACAGTAACGCTAAGCTAAAGCTAAGCTAAAGCTAAGCCACAGCTAAGCTAAAGTTAAGCTAAAGCTACCTAAGCTAAAGCTAAGCTAAAGCTAAGCTAAAGCTAAGCTAAAGCTAAGCTAAAGCTGAGCAACAGCTAAGCTAAAGCTAAGCTACAGCTAAGCTAAAGCTAAGCTAAAGCTAAGCTAGCTAAGCTAAGCTAAGCTACAGCTAAGCTAAAGCTAAAGCTAAAGCTAAAGCTAAAGCTAAAGCTAAAGCTCCCAGGGGACTGGGGGGAACCGCGGGGCGGGGACTGGGGGAACCGCCCGGGGCGCTTTCCACTGCCCGGCCCCTTTAAGCTAGAGAGTAAGAACCCTTCTAGGCAGAGCCTAGGTAGGGAAAAATAGTCCAAACATAGTCTGGGGACTATTTTCGGGGTATTGTTGGGGTATGTTCTATTTTTCGTCGACAATCCCCCTGTAGGGGGACACGCCCGACATGAGCCCAGGGCCGCGCCTTTTTGTCGCAGATCTGCCAGCAGTCAAGTCCAGTCCCCCTTCGCGTGCGGGCTCGGTCAACCCATCGTTCAGCGCAGCGGTTGCCGTGGCGTGGGCTCTGGCATGCACAGACGCCTGCTCACCTAGCTCCTCTCGCCCGTGCACCCGAGCCCCCCGCGCAAACTCCGGGCAACCGCATTGACCAACGCCACTGTCGACGCGCTTTCCACCCACGCCGGGAGGTGACGCTGGACGTGTGCGGCAAGGAAGAGGACCTCCAGGAAGGAGCCGAGATCCGACGCCGTGCCAAATCGCAACGATCACGACCGGAGCTCCGCACCCCACAGCTGCCCGGAACTTCTGGAGCCAAATCGAGCAGTGGGGACCCCGTTCCTGGAAAGGAGCAGAAGCCCGTCACTTCCAGGACCCCCGAAGACCAGGGAGCCATTGCAACTCACCACCAACACCAACTTTGAAACACATGTGGACATGCATGAAGCTGGGAAGGTTCGTGCGAATAGGAAGATCGTAAAGAGACAGGCAGCAAGAGGGGAAGGGAAGGAGGAACACATAAGGGGAGAAGAGGGAAATGTCATGCTGGTTCCCATGTAGCCCAATCTGTTCTTCAAGAAGTAAGCACCGTGGAACCTTGGAAGGCGTCGTGGGAATCTCCTGGGGCGTCTTCAACTCTTCCTGAGGGCTGTCCTGCTGGGCGTCTTCAAGGCGATTGAGGTGTCCTCGAGCGGGGTCGTTCGGGAGGCCTCTAAGGCCGCGTTAGCGCGCTGTTTGGCCGTCTGGCACCTTCGAACATCGTCTGGTAGGCTTGTCTAGACCGTCTTGGTCTTCGGAGCTCTCGGGAAGTTCACCGCAGTTGTGACGACCGGAAAACCGCCTGACGAAGGAAACTGTGTGAAAACATATAGGTTGTTTCGTGTACTTTTTGTGGGAGCATCTTGAAGCATCTTGGAGGCTCGCGTGCTCTCCGGGAGGCCTCTTGGGGATTCCTCTCGCTTCGCGGGGTACGCGTCCAGAAAGCGCAGAGTATGGGCGTTCTGGGGCTTATTTGTTCTGAGCATTTGGGAAGCTTTTTGGGGGCCTCCTGGCGGTCTCTTGGGGCCTCTTCGGGCCTGTGAGGGGGCGTCTTTTGTAGTCTTAAGGCGCGCCCTGGGCCATCTGGCGCCTTCGGAAGCCATCCTGGGGGGTGCCTCTGGGCCGTCTTGGCGCCCTCTCCGGCCGCCTCGGGCATATCTTCGGCCGTCTTCGGGCTGTCTCGGGAGTCTCTTGAGCCATCTTGGTACCCTCTTGGGCCGTCTTGAGACGCTTTAACGGGTGTCTTGGATCGTCCTGGGGCCATCTGGATTGTCTGCGGTACCGTCTGTGACTCTAAGAAGCGGAAACCACGAGAGCTCAATAATATGTCCATAACCTATGGTCGGCGGTGGACAAACCTCCCTTTGGCAATCCTCCCCTTAGTGAAAGCGGCCTGGGACCGAAACCGACGAACCTGGACCCGCAAAAATGACGGCCGCGCGCCCTCTCGCGAACCGAAAACGGCCAATTCCTCAATCGACGTGTCAGGGTAGGAGGTCTATCCATCTCCGATATTGGAGGACCCTGTTTGCCTGCCACGGCGATCAGGAAAGTGACGAGACCTTGTCAAAGATTGGACCCGAGATTCCGCTGCAGACATCCAACGAGAACTGGCACGTCAGAACCCAGGCCGGGCTCGTCAACAAGTTGGATGCTCGTTCTGGGGACCTTCCTGGAGCCACTCGCTCCACTCGTGCGTCGAAGCTGCGTCGAACGTCAGTCGATTTGGGTCGACCCTGAGTCGAACCTGAGTCGAACCTGAGTCGAACCTGAGTCGAACTTGAGTCGAACTTGAGTCGAACTTGAGTCGAACTTGAGTCGAACAGATGCGTTAGGTGGGCGCCAGGAAGGTCCCCGAAACGAGCATCGAAAACAAGGGTCGGCAATCCCGCATTCCGGCGAACTCGAAGCTCACGCCTCCCCGACTCCGAGACCATCCGTGACGAGGGCTGCCATCTTCGGCCGGCATTCCGCCGGGCTTCCCCCCCGCGGCCGGGGCCAGGTCTCGAGGGGGGCGGCGGCGGGGAATGAAGAGGAGGGTGTGCGGGGAGGAAGGGGAGGTGGAGGAGGAGGAGGAGGAGGAGGAGGAGGAGGAGGAGGAGAAGGAGGAGGAGGAGGAGGAGGAGGGGGAGTAGGGGGAGGGAGGGGGGGAAGGGAGGGAGGGAGGGAGGGAGGTCTCGAGGGGTTCCCCCCAGGGGGGGAACACTGAACGGGACCCCCTCGGGGGCGAGGTCGGGGGGAACCGCGGGCGGTCGCCTCGCACTCGGGCACGTCGCGGCAGACCTCGAAGTCGTCTGCGGGGCCCGTCACGTTGTGCCCGCAGGACGTGGGCTGCGTCTTCACTTCGCGCGAGCGGGTCCTTCCATCGGGCCGGGGGAGCGGTGCGGGCATCGTCGTCACTATTCTCCGTCGACTGCCTCCTCATCCTCCTCACGCGTCCCCTCTTCCTCCTCCTCCTCCTCCTCCTCCTGTTCCTCCTCATCCTGCGCGCCTCCTCGTCCTCCGTCCCCATCCTGGCCACTCTCGTCCTCGGCCTCCCTCCCCTCCTCGCACTCCCATTCGCCCCGCCGTGACAACCGACTCGTCAGGGCCATGCCGCTTGGAGGTGCCCTGCACGGGCCGCCCATGCGCAAGTATGCTTGTTGATGCCATGACAATGGGCACTCTAACAATCCTATCATTGAATTCAAAAATGTTTTAAATGTCTAAAACATGTTCTAAACATGTGTCAAACATGGTTTCAATATTTAAAACATGTTTGAAACATCTTTTGGACATCTGGAAATTATGTGGCAGCATGCTTCCTCTCCTTTGATCGACCGCCACACAATTACGCAGTCTCCACGGGCCGGCCTCAACCTGGATGGAAAAGCTCCCTGCGGCCCCGCCCCACACGGCCCCTCCGCCTGCAGGTCGCCAGCCTGGGACCTCCTGAAGAAGAGAAGCGGAGACCTGCGCGCTCGTAGGCTTAAGTCGG